CCCCCCCCCCCCCCCCCCCCCCGCGGCCCCGCGGTCAGCCGGGCTGGCTCATGGTCCCCGAAGCGGCGGGCCGGGCGGAGGCTCCTGCGGCCGCTGGGCCCACGGGGATGCCCCGCGGGTGAGGCAGCCCCCAGCTTCCAGCCGCGCTCATGGCGGTGGCCAGGAAGATCAAAACTTTGCTGACGGTCAACATCCTGGTGTTCGTGGGCATCATCGTCTTCTCCGTGTACTGCCGCCTGCAGGACCGCTCCGAGGGGCTGGTGCAGACCGTGCGCAGCGCCGAGGGGCTGGTGCAGACCGTGCGCAGCGCCGACCGCCGGGTGCGCAGCCGGCACGCCAAGGCAGGCGCGCTCGCCGACCGCGAAGCCATCCTGGAGCGTCTGGACCACCTGGAGGAGGTGGTCTACAACCAGCTGAATGGTGAGCCCGGGCAGCGTCCCTCTCGGGACAGAGGGGCTGGACGGAGGGGCCGGAGGGCGGGGAACTGTCCCCAGTTCTCTGGACACCGCACTGTGTCCCGGCCACTGGAGCCGACACCGACCCCAGGGGCCTGATGGCCCCCGCAGGGGCTGGGGTCAAACTCCTTCCGTGCTACTTCTGGAGGAGGCTGGGTGGGAGGCGGATAAGGAGGAGAAGGGCTCCCTTAGCAGAGAGCGGTGGCCTGGGTGACCACTCATTCGTGCCCGCACCCAGTGGACACTTGAGAGCCCTCCCCATCAGCCCACATGTGACGTCTCCAACTTACCCCCTGAGAGAACTTGAGAGAACTTCTAATGAAGCTCTACGACTTGCTTCAAGAACAGGCAGTGCCCAGGTCGGAGGGTGAGGGGCAGGTTCTGCTTTTCCAGCAGCTGTGGGGGCGGGGGGCCCTCGCCTGCCGTCACCCCTCTCGCTCCTGGAAGACGCGGGCACTGGAGGGAGGGTGGTGCTGCCTTTCGGCGGTTGCCGGCGTGGTGTGTCTTGACGCCGGTGGGGAGTGGTGCCTCCCTATGACCCCGGGCCTGTCCAGCCTCCCGTCCTGGGGACGCCTGGGGCTCCCTCCAGACAGTGTTGCTGTGGGACAAGCATGAGGCCGGGGGCTGGCGCCTCGCGGACAGATTGAGTCAGGGGTGCAGCAGGGGCTTGGCAGGTGTCAGTCACCTAGACGGACCCTGGGCCGTGGTGTGTGGGAGCCCACAGTCCTTGGACTCTTCGTCAGCAAGCCCAGCGTCAGCGCGACGGAGGGTCAGTGTGACTGAGGGTCAGGGCCGCTGGCCACAGCTGGGAGGAATGGGTGTTTCCCACCTGGGGAGGCAGCGGGCCGAATACAGTGGGTGCTGGTCCCTGGTCGGTCTCTGTGCTGAGGTACGAGGAGGAAGGACAGAAGTTTGTGTGTTTGCCTCATTAGTGGCTTTTTCTACCTGTTCTGTGCTGTCCTGCAAGTGAGCCAGCAGCTCCGCCAGCCTGGTCGGGAGGCATCGGCAGCAGGCTCTGGGTGGAGGTGTCTGGCCTGCACCGCCGGGGGTCTGCTCCGGCTCCCTGCCCGCGGGGGGTGGGGGGGGGCTTCTCGGCCTTTCCTTCGGGAGGGCACCCTGCGACCCAGGGGCTCGGTGACAGCTGGGATGAGGGGACCGTCCGCAGCCTCCCTCGCTGTCTGGGAGGCAGCCAAGCATCCTTCTGGCCTCCCAAGTGCCCCCTCGCCGCCCCCCCCCCCACCAGGACCCGTGGCTCTCCCCCAGAGGTGCCTTTCACGAGTGAGCCGTGTGGCTTTTCTGATCTCTCCCACCGAGCCGCAGCCACGAGGGGAGAAAAGTTTAGTCCAACTGCCACTGCTGTTCCGATGTTGTGATTCATCCTCCGGAAGAGCCGTGCCCCGTGACAGCACGTAGCTTTACTGAAGTGTATTTGCCAGGGAGTTATGGTCTGTTTTATGGGGAGAGCCGGAGGATTATATAAAAACATTGGCAGCACGTCGGGTTGTGTAACATCGCGACGGCCGGCTCAGCACCGTGGGCTGTTCTCACCTTGCCCTTCAAGGTGGGAAGAAGCCAGGGTTCTCGGTGGCAGAGAAGCCCAGGACCTCTGACTGACCTTCCCGACGCTAGCGGCACAAGGGGAAGTGGTTCGGGAACGCGAGTGTCACTCCCTTGCTGACCCCGGCCTCCCCCGTGTCCCCAGTTCCCCTCTCCCCTTCCTCCACTCTTCACCCGCCTTTCTCCAAATGTGCCGCTGGCTCTCTCTCTGTCTGCCTCCCTCTCTCCGTCTCTGTCTGTCTCTGCGTCTCTGTCTCTCTCCCTCTCTCTCTTCTTGTGTCTCCCTATCCCTCTCCCTCCCTCTCTGTCTCTCTCTGTCACCGTCTCTATGTCCTTGTCTGTCTCTTTCTCTCCCTGTCTCCCCTCCCTGCTCTCCTCTGATGAGGCTCTTACACCCCACTTCGAGGCCGTGTACCCCACAAGGTGTCCCACCCAGGAGTCACTCAGTATTTGTTCCTGGAAATGACGAGACAGACAGTGCTTCCCTTATCCCAGGCTGGTCCCTAAGGAGGGGCCGCTACGGGCTTGACATTTGCTCACGAGAAGCCATTTGAGAGCAGTGCTTAGCCCTCCAAACGGGTACCGACTCCCGACTCCCCGTGAGAAAGGACACTGAAGAACACGGGGGGGGGGGGGGGGGGGCGGTGCTCCCCGTGGCTGCCTGTCCGCTTCAGATTCAGGAAATGTAGAGGAAATAATTCCTGGGAGTCTCCACCGAGTGTGGAAAGGAGAGGAAGGAATCCAAAGAAAATGACGTACCACTTCTATTTCCTCTGCCCTGACTGCCTCCTGGAGATGCCTCTCCTGGCTCAGAGGGGCTGGTGGGAAGGAAGGGGTGTCCCAGGAGTGGGGCCGGGAGGCAGGACATTCTTCCCACACCCTTTCTTCAGCCGCTCTGCTGACCTTTACTCAGGATGTCCTGTGGACCTCAGCAAAGACCTAACAAATGGTGTACATAGATCCAAATTCACAGGACCTGGGAGAAAATATTCTTTAAGGAAACGCAATGTAGTCACATCCTGTATGTGCGTGCGAGTTGCTTCTAAATTCAGTGCTCAAGGCAAGAAAAAAAACGCGTATAGCCAGAAATCATCCTTCTGGATATCTTAAATCACATCCATGGTTCTGTGGGTACGACTGGCACAGGGAGTCTCATGAACGCGGTGTCTGGGAGCCTCCAAGCTTGGTGGCAAGAGGGAGGGAGATGTCCCCAGTCGGCCGCCTGGTCTGCAAGCCAGCCCCTGGGGGATGGGAAGGGCAGGAGAATTCTCCCGTGCTCCGTGCTCCGGCCACATCGGCGGCTCTCTGTTGTCGTGGGCGTGACCCAGGTGAAGGCAGTCACCTCCCAGCAGACCTCGGACCTCGTGTGCAGCGAGGCCGGGCCTCCTCCCTGCACAGGGGAGGCCACCCACCGCCCAGCCGCCCTGCCCCCCCCCCCCCACGCGATCTTCCGACCCTTGGGGCCACGGTTCTGGGCGGAGCTGGGCCGGGAGCTGCCAGCTGTGGGGGGCCGGCTGCTGTAGAGGGAGGTACTTTCTAACGTGCAGAGTGCACGCGTCAATCCCTCCACCCCAACCCACCTCCGCCCAAACCCTGCAGTCGGGGGTCAAAGCGTGGGCCCGCTGTGCGGACGGCACACGAGGGCCCGCCAGAGAGTCCGGCCAGCTCTGCCCGCGCCCCGGGCCACTCGCGCTCGTCTGGGGAAGAGATGGTTTCGACGCTGCTCCCTCTCGAGCTCCAGCAATGCATGTGTGACCGGCTCCGTCTACACCGTATTTGTGGATGACGCCGGCCCTGACTCATCTGAGGGATTTTGTCTGTTTTACCCACGGCTCTAACACCCGGGGTCTCCGGCGGCATTGTGTGTGTACCTAGTGCTGTGGAAACGTTTGTGGAATGAGCAAGTAAGCGGACCTTCCTCTAAACCATTCATTGCTTTTGCACAAAGTAAATGTATTTAAAAAAACAGGTGCACATCAGCAGCACACCCACAAGCAGAGGGGACCAAGCGACAATGACGAGACCGTGCAGGCCATGAGGTCCACGGGGCTCTGAGCCCAAGCCCACTCTTCCTGAAACGGGAGATTCTCAAGTGAAAGACATGTGCAGGGACATATTAGCACGAAACCAAGACTCTCTCCTTGGAGAAACGGGTGATCCAGAACGTCTGAAAAAGGGAATCTGTCTCATGGTGGGAGTCGGTGTTATTCAACCCTATGTTCTTCTTTTCCCCCAAATCCTGTCCGGATTGTGGGTCCTTCCAGGACTGCGGCTGTGCCTTGGGAAGCCTGGTCTGTGGCAGACCGTGTCCCGAGGGGAAGCGGGTGGTCAGAGGCTAAGGGGCACATGCCCACTGCAGCGGGGTCCCAGATTTCTGATCAGGAGGCGAAAATCCTACCGACAATCTGAGAGCGCTGAGGTTTTTTTTAAATCTTTTTTTTAATGTTTATTTTTGAGAGAGAGAGAGAGAGAGAGAGAGAGCGCATGAGGGGGCAGAGGCAGAGAGAGAGGGAGACACAGAATCTGAAGCAGGCTCCAGGCTCCGAGCTGTCAGCACAGAGCCCGACCCGGGGCTCGAACTCACAGACCGCGAGATCATGACCTGAGCCGAAGTCGGACGCTTAACCCACTGAGCCACTCAGGCGCCCCGTGCTGCGTTTTAATAATAAAACCCTAGTTGAGCTGCACAGAGGCTGTCGGGGTGAGGGTGAGGTGGTGATGCTGGATTTTTACCCAACGTTTGCCCTGGGCCTGTGGCCGCAGATGACACACGCACAGAGGTGTGCCTGTCTTCCACTGTGGTGTCTGCCTTAGCGATTGACAGATATCACGGCCGAGAAGCTGAATTTGGGGAGGCTGTCCCAAGATTCCCCACCTGCTCTGAATGGTAGGTGGTCAGAACGTGCTCTCTGCCCCTCGGAGGCCTGGCTCAGGGTTTCAGAGGCTCTGCTAGAACAGAAGCCACATGAGGCCCCTGATGGTCTCACCGCCCCCCCCCCCCCCCCACCTACTGTTTGCGTCACAAAAGGATGAGTGGATCGGATGGCAAGAACCCACAGAAGAGGGCGTGGAGAAGGGGGTGGCTGGGGTCTGGGGAGAGTGCCCAGTGTCTGGCTGTCCCCCCCCCCCGGACACCCCTCGCCCCTCGCCCCCAGCACAGCCGCCCTGAGAGCCCTGTGTTTCTCAGGAGGGGTTCCCGGCTCTTCTGTGCACATAGGCAGGTCCAGGCTGGAAACGTTCCAGGACATTCCACTTGTTAGGGGGCGTGCGTTCCACAGAAAGCTTTCCTGTTCGTGGTGAGTTTTAGCTCCCCAGATGGCTTCCCGCTGGTTCCAGGCACCTTCCTAGCTTGCGTTTGCCCGGCCTCCTCCTCCCGAACCTGCTTTGTGAGTCGTGACATCCTGCACT